AGGTTCAAGCAATTCTCTTGTCTCTTTTTCGTTTTGTTTTGTTTTGAGATGGAGTCTCGCTCTGTTACCCAGGCTGGAGTGCAATGGTGTGATCTTGGCTCACTGCAACCTCCACCTCCTGGGTTCAAGCGATTCTCCTGCCTCAGCCTCCTAAGATTCTGGGACTACAAGTACGTGCCACCATGGCTGGCTAGTTTTTGTATATTTGTAGAGATGGAGCTTCACCATGTTGTCCAGGCACGTCTTAAACTCCTGGCCTAAGATGATCCACCTGCCTCCAAACCAAAGAAATGGTTTCCAGGAAGAAATCACCATGGACACTGAATTTATACTCACTCCATGCATATAGTGACAATAATTTGGACAGCACCCAGGGGCGATCAGGGGTTTATCTCCAGGGTTTTACCTTTTGACATTCACAACAACCTGGTGAGGTCCTGGAGGCAGTGGCAATTATTCTCTCCTCTTACGGAGGTCCACAATCCCTGAGCCCTTGCCTCGGTCCCTGCACAGGCCTGGGGCACAAGAAACTCTTAGAGGAGGCCAGAAGTTGCCGGGAGGTGAGCAGAGCCAAGTGGTCTTGGCTGAAAGTGAATCCTGTTGCCCAGGCTGGAAACAAGGGAGAACTGCTCCCTTCTGCACAGCCCACGCCTGTTCCTCTTAGAAGAGTTACCACTGGCAAAGATTCAACGGTTTTGAGCTGAATACAGACAGGAAACTGAGGCTTGGGTGATTAAGCCCAAGATTAGGCTGCTAATGAATGGCAAAGTCAAGTTTCTAAGCCATGGCTGCCATCCCCATCTCAAACACCATCCCAACATCCCCCTTCACACTACGTTGTACCTCAAAAGGTCATGTGCAGGTCTTCCTAGCACAGTAGGGCTTGTCCACACCCACACCAGCCTGACAGCTTCTCCTCCAGCTCTCAGTGGCATCTCAGCAGCATGAGCTCAGGCCTCTGAGAGCAAGTTTCCCAGCTGATGCACAGAGGACGGTGTACGGAGGGTGCTGTGCAGCGGACCGCTCATCAGGCCTCAGTGCCCACAGCAGCCAGGGCTGGTTAGAGCTTTCTCCCTCCCCAGGCTTCCCTGCCCCTCAACTGCTCCCACAACTTCTCCTCACCTTCACACACCCATCACCTCGCTCTCTTGCAGAAAGCTCTTCCTGGTTAATGCCCCAACCCCAACAGCCACACTAAGCTGTCACCCTCAACTCCGGTTGTCACGAGTAGACCCTGTCTTTCCAGCTGAACAGGGGTAGCAGCCCATTGCACCTGAGACATACTGAGAGCCGTGGTTCTCAACCTCGACCTCACAGGAGACTCCTTAGTTAAAAATTAAGGCCAGCCACAGTGGCTCATGCCTGTAATCCCAGCACTTTGGGAGGCCAAGGCACGTGGATCACCTGAACTCAGGAGTTTGAGACCAGCTTGACCAATATGGTGAAACCCCTTCTCTACTAAATATACAAAAATTAGTTGGGCATGGTGGCGGGTGCCTGTAATCCCAGCTACTTGGGAAGCTGGGCAGGAGAATTGCTTGAACCCAGAAGGTGGAGTTGCAGTGAGTTGAGATCACGCCATTGCACTCCAGCCTGGGTAAAGATCAAGATTCTATCTCAAAAAAAAAAAAAAAAAAAAAAGGTAAGTTAAAAATTAAAAATTCTGAAGCCCAGGCCCTACTGAGACTTGGTAGCTCAGCCTCTCCAGGGGTGAGGCCCAGAATCGGGGCTTCTAAATTCTCTGGGAGACTCCAGGAAGCAGCCCAGCTGAGGGTCACTGCTTCATACCTCTGGAACCTGCCAAAAGCACTAGATGATTTGGGCCTCACGTCCACTCCAGGAAGGGACGTGGACAGGTGTTACCCCCGTTCGAAGAGTAGAAAGCTGAGGCTGAGAGGTGCGTGGCCTATGGTTGCTGCCACAGGGCTGGGACTGGAAGCCGGCTCTGCGTCCTGGGCTCAGGCAGGGCTCTTTACTGCAGCCTCTGGCCGCTGTAACCAGTGCCAGCTGTGGAGGGCTGCCTGTCTCCAACTCCTTTTCTCTGCCCTGAAACAGCTACCATTGGCACTGGGCACATGCCAGGGCTCCAGAAGATGGAATAAAGATGAATGTCCCCTCTTGTACTGTCAGCCATTGTCTTCTGAGGGGGCTGGAAGACTTCCCTCCTGGGCTGGGCTCGGCCTCTGCCAGCTCTCCAGGAGCCACCATGTCACAGATGCCTGGAAGGAGGGGCTGGTGGGACCACACTAATGGAATGGCTAAGTCAGAAGTCCACCTCCGAGAGCCTCCTCTTCCTGGGTGCCCTGCTTTAGTCACGCCTGTCCTAGTCTTTAGCTCATCTAGGGTGATCATCAGACCAAGGGGATCACCAGGATTCACGACTTCCGGCTTTAAAACCCAGACAAGTTGGTCCCTCTGCTTCTCTCTGCCCAGACCTGAATGACATGGTTTCCCTCATGGGGCCCCATGCCTCTCCTGCTTTACCGCGGTCATTGCTGTTGTTGAGGGCCTATGAACACATGGCTCGTGGCATCCGTGGCCGTGAACCTTCCGGCTTCCTCCTGGCCTGCTGCAACAGCTTTGCTGGCCCACTGCACCTAGTGCTAAGCCTGCTACCCACATGGGCTGGGCTCAAGGGCTCTCCTGCAGCCATTTGCTCGATGGCACCTGCACCTACTGTGTGCCCGGGATGCACAAAAGCCCCTGCAGTGAGGAGCAGCTCCCATTCCCCAGGAAGCGTGCAGTATGAGAGCTATGTTGGGGGCAGGCTTCTTGGAGGTGACATGGGATTGTGGCCGTGTCTGTGGCACATCTCAGAGGAAGCATCTTGTGCAAAGGTGCAGCTCTACTACGAATGTGGCACATTCTGAGAAGACTAAGCAGTCCAGGGAGGACGGAGCACTGGGTGGGGTGTGGAGGGGAGGGCTGGGGCTGCACTGCAGGGGCAGCGAAGGCCTGGCCTGGCACATCCAGGTGCTTCACTCGGCAGAGAGGGGTCAGTTAATGAGGGGCACCCACTGGCCACAAGGGATCTGGCTCCTTCCTGATCCAGATGGGAGAATTAGGCTTCTACCCCTATCCCCAGTTGTTTTCTGAAAGTGGTTCCCCCCATGTGGCCAGAGGGAAGTGCATGGGGGAAGGCCTGGCCTTGGGTTGATGTTCTTGTATTAGAGCCCTCGGTCTCTAACCCCTGAGCATTACAATCACCTTGGGCAACTCCCAACGCCCAGGCTGCACTCCAGGCCAATAAGTGGGTGAAAGGAAGACCAAAATGGGCTTTAAAGCTCCCAAGGGAATTCCAATGCAGAGCCAAGGTTGGGAAGCCCGTGCTCAAGGGACAGGGGGACAAGGCAGGGAGGGATGGCTCAGAGGCTCCATGGAGGGGGGCATTTACCAATGGCACCTGGGGGCCCAGCACCCCTGCCCACTCCTCTCCCATATGCCTTCCACATGAAATGAAAAGGACACAGAAAACGGGGAAGGAATGACACTTTGCTTTCCTGGCTTCTAAGTACAGCAGGCCTCCCGTAGAGGGTTCAGGGCCCATCAGCCGCAGACAGGGCTATGCTGCCCCCTAGTGGCAAGGCCTGAGAACAGCTTTCACTACTCAGATTCCCCCACTTCCAGTAGAAAATTACTTCTGAACAGAGAACTTGCGTGGTACCATCTGAAAGGTCTGCACCAAACACCTTATAGCTCTATACCCGATGCCGGCAGGCTGCACCATCTCGGCAGACTCCAGCAGAGCATCCCACGGGAAGTGTGAGAGGTAAGTGGGCCCGCAGTTCCAAGCTAGACAGTGGGGCTGGCCACACGAGGACCCAGATCCTCCCAAACTCCCCGTGAGGCCTTCAGTCACCACAGCTTAGCCCTCTCCCCTTGTCTTCACAATAAGGATAAATGATGGAGAACGTAAGTCAGAGGGTTCGAGGTTGGCAGGGATGGAGCCAGGAAAATGCCCGTCTCACTTCCACTAAGGCCTATAGGTAAGCTGCTTATGAAGGGCCTGGGCCTTCCCTTGAGCAAATGTCACCCCAACTCCCGAGGAGACAGTAACAGATGACGCTTCCTTCTCTGCTGTGGCTACTGGAGCTCAAAGCCAAATTATGGCTGCCCCAGAAGATTTCTTAGGGCGTTACAACTTGAGTTCCTTTTCCTGGTATGACATTCTACTCCGACTTGATCTGATCTTGTGCCTCACTTTGTATCTCACTGTTTCAGTTATTTCCTCAAAGTCTCCTCAAATCTTCTCTGGATTAAGATAGGATATTTTAAGACTTCATTTTGGACTTGACAGGTTTTGTTCTTTACACAGTGTATGCTGAGCCAGTTCAGCATATTCTTTCAAATCTTTAGGACAGAAGTTTTCTGTCTAGGAGACAGTGGTTCCAAAACACACACCTCAGAATCACCTTAGAGGTCAGGTGCGGTGGCTCACGCCTGTAACCCCAGCATTTTGGGGGGCTGAAGGGGGGCGGATCACTTGAGGCCAAGAGTTCAAGAGCAATCTGGCCAAGACAGCAAAACCCCGTCTCTACTAAAAACACACACACACACATATATATGGCCAGGCATGGTGGCACACACTTGTAGTCCCAGCTACTCAGGAGGCTGAGGCACGAGGATCACCTGAACCCAGGAGGCAGAGGTTATGATAAGCCAAGAATGTGCCACTGCACTCTAGCCTGGGTGACAGAGCAAGACTGTTTCAAAAAAAAAAAAAAAAAAAAAAAAAAAAAAAAAAAAAAAAAAAAAAAAAAAAAAAAAAAAAAAAAAAAAAAAAAAAAAAAAATCACCTTAGAGACTTTAAAAAGGCTCCAATTCAGGTCTGGAGCAAGCCCCAGGAATATGTAATTCTAAAGTTTTCAAAACCACTGCTTCTGAAGCAGCCAGCCCAGCTCCTGGCCATTGAGCAGTGTTTGAGAATCTCTGGCCTAGAAACATAAAAAAGGGGGCCATTAGTTACAAAAATGAGTATCAAATTCCTTTACAAAGTATGATTTTCTAAATAAAATAAATCTCAACTTTATTTAGCTGATGTGCTTCAGAAACAATGGGTGTAAACCCAAATTAGCAAATCAAACCCATTCAAATCACCAGGGCAAAGGGTAGACAGACCACTGCAGTGAAGTCTTCTAAAAAATCAAGACATCCCCCCGCCCCCACTTACTCGGTCTCGGAGTTTGGCTTTTCTTACAGTGGTCACTCCTGAAGTAAACGTCCATGTAATAAAGAGATCCCAAGCTCCTCTTGGTAACCCACCTGTTTTAAATCACAATAGGCACACCAAACAAGGTCACAGGGGCTGCCTACTGAAGTTCTTTGCATCAGCTCTACCTAAGAAGTCACCCCCGACTCCACTAGAGGGTGCTCTTTCCCTGGCCTGGACTGTTCCCTACACTCTGAGGTGGTGTGGAGTCAGTGTTAGACGGAGATCTATCTTTCACCAGGCACTGAAAGCAGATGTGTGAGGAAAAGTGGTCATGTGACAACACGCATTATCAGTGCTCCTGGGTCTCCAGACACTCTGGCTGCTATTCAGCCCCAGGCAGTAAAGACCCACAAACCACCTCTGCAATTTTTATTCCAAAATAGAGACAACTGGCTCGGAAGGTGCAGCATGAGGGTTCGTCAAAGCCAACTGCTGTCAAGTGTGGAAACCCACTGGTGCACACCACGAAAACGTCCTATCAGTCCATGCATGATGGGTGCGGGGACTTCTGCCTCCCAGAGTTCAAGTCCAAATGGCTCAGCTGCTCCTTGCAGACCTTCCTCCCGAGTGCTCTCTGGCAGGATCCTTGGTGCCTGTCACAGTCTCAGAATCCATTTTATGGACTACCAAGAGCCCCATGCCAGGTCCCTGGCACTGCAGCGGTACTGGGTGTAATGGAAACGTCTTCGTGCCTCCCCAAAGCTAGATCTGGGTCTAAAGATGCTGCAACCACTGGGTCCACACCCCCGCCACTGCTTTCACACTGACAGGGCCCCAGCCCTTTTTAGGAGTCACAGATCCCTCCTTCCTTGGAAACCTAGGCTCCATTTGACCCGGAGGGATAGGAACAATGGAGATCTCATCTGACCAAAAGTGTGAAATCAGCACCCAGGAAACTCAGTTAACAATCTGGACAATTGAGAAAACTCACCAGAGGGGCTAATGCCACAGACTCGCCTGAAAAGACCAACATGGCTGCACAGCGGGTGGGAGGGGAACAAGGGAAGTGAAGAGGAACACAGACAAGAAGGGAAATAAGACAGAAGACAGTTCAAGTGACAAGGAACTAACAGAGAGCAGGTGGAGCAGCACAACCAAAGGGGGGTTAATACTGGGCAGGTTTCCAGTTCTAAAGGATTTTGAGTGTCATGTTCTGGTCATGAAGCTACTGTGCCCAGGGCTGGCAGGGCTGGCAAGGCCTGTGGTAAATGAGAAAATACACTCACCAGGTCTTTCTGGGACTTTCAGTGATTAATCATGTTAGACGGACTTCGAGATACACTGGCTTTATAATAAATTCCACAACACACCGGTATTAGTACAGCCTGAATCCAGGGCTGGTCAGAGAATGGAAAAGGTGGTAGTCCCTGAAAACAGAGTGTTACAAGGACATATGCACTAGAGGTGTCTCCAAGGTGGCATCTGCCCACACTGGCTGCACAAAATGGGGGTCTGGCTGGCAAGTGCTAATATATTTCAGGGAAGAGAAGAAAACCAAAGAATTAGAGATGCTGAAACTAGGGCTGAGACTGGAATTGGCAAATCACAAATCTTTGCTCACAGCTCCTTTCTGAGGGGCAAAGGCCCCCCAAAGCCTGATCACAGGTGCTAAGCCACTGCGCAGTCTCTGAACCTTAAAAGCCAACCATTCTATTAACAACTAGAAAAAATCAGTGACTAGAGTCAAGACTGAATACTCCCAGGGAGTAACACTGGCCTCACTTTAGACAGGAGAAACTCCCAACCGCAGTGTGGAAAATCTTACTTGTTATCGGCAACAGCACTGCCATCTTGTTTCCCCTAGGTAGCTGCTTCCAGGGAAAGGTGACAAGTACGGCAGTTAGTCATCTACACGTCACTGGGGTGCACGGGAGGTGGCCAGGATGTGAATGACCTACTATTTAATATAATGGGTGTGAGAAAATGAGGCCTCTTTCCTCTCCTTTTCACTTTTGCTCCAGCCTACCAGGAGCTGGAAAGGCCGGATGGTGACAAGGTTTGAACTGTGTGGGCGGTACTGCACGCAGGCCTCACTGTGGACACGTTCCCAGGGCGCACATCAGCTGTGTGAACAAAGTCACCCAAGCCATTCTTTCCCTCCCCCAGTAAGAGTGAGAGTGAGACGGAACTGGGACTTCTTCCATTCCCTAAGCACTGCACATCCTGGTGGCACTAGCTCCCCCTCCAAGACGTCACAGAAAACAAAGCAGGTTGGCAACTATATCACAATCACTCCTGAGTGTCTTCACAGTTAAGACAGGCACACGTCTCAAAAGGCAGCCTCTGGGCCCCCCACCCCCGTTTTCACGCGCACACACTCACACACACTCGTACGCTGTAGGAACGCTGTTCAGCCGTTGAGTGTGGCTGGCTCATGTCAGGTAGTGCACCACGAGGAACATGACTGTAAGGGTCACCAGCATCCCGCCGATCATGAAGTACTTGTCCTGGAAAGCCCGCTTCTCGATGAGCCTCATCACCGTGTTGGACAAGCCCAGCATGTTGGCAATGTCGAGGATCTTCTTCTGAGTGCCCTGAGGCAGAAAGAACAAACAAACAAGCACACATCAAGTCGCTTTGCCAAGGGTGGGTGAATGTCATCAGGAGATGGAGCTTTGCCAACAGACATTTTCTTGGTCATGCCCAGAACACACAGAAGGCAATGTCAGCCAGAAATAGAGCCACTTTCATGTGGTCGACTGATTTTTGATCAAGGTACTAGAGCAGTACAAAGTAGAAAGAAAAGTCTTTTCCACAAATGATGCTGGAACGACTGGTTATATATCACAGATATGTATTTTTTTATATATATATAT